AGCGCTGTGGCGCAGCAGGTTAACACCCTGGCCTAAAGCGTTGGCATCCCATATGGGCACCGGCTTGAGACCTGGCTGCTCCACTTCTGATCCAGCTCTCTGCTATGGCCTGGGAAAGTAGTAGAAGATGGTCCATGTGCTTGGGCCCCTGCACCCATGTGGGAGACCCAGAAGAAGCTCCTGCCTCCTGGCTTCAGATCGGTGACCATTGTGGCCAATTGAGGAGTGAACCATTGGATGGAACACCTCTCTCTCTCTCTCTCTCTCTTTCTTTCTCTCTCTGTGTGTGTGTGTGTAACTCTAACTTTCAAATAAATCTTAAAAAAAAAAAAAAGAACCATATTCTTGAGAGGGTATTAAGATCAGGTTTATTCCTAAAATATCAGTGTTTCTAAAAATAGTATATTCGTATCTCTATTATTTTTAAATGAAACGTCTGTTTCTGGATATAAATTAATCCCAACTACTTTATCCTGGGACTGCTGAGTGGACGGGGGCTCCCTGGGCACTGGGTCTCAGGCAGCTGCACTTTGAGAGTCCTTCTGTTAATGACCTATGGGTTTTACAGGCTGTCCTTGCTTTCATTTAGCGTGCTGTCATTGCCGATCTGAGCTCTGACTTCCTGAAGCAGTAACCACCCTCTTTTTTAACTGCTGTTTGGGTTGACTGTGATTTGGGAGAAGCGTGTTTGTTAGAACTGCTTTGTAACAGAGTGGTCCGTTTGTGTACAGGGGCACTGAAGAAGTAATGAGGTGAGGGCAGAGAACTAGACAGGAATGTGCACCGTCTGGCCCCGCTGGCTTGCTGCAGGCTCTGAGCTGTGCCGAAATGGCCTGGATCGCAGAACTAGGACCTCTGGTTGAGTAGAGCCCGCGTATTCCTCTTCTTTCTACTCATGCGCTAACTTATCAAAGATGCTAACTTATCAAGGGCATTCATCCACAGCTGGTTTTGACACATATGAATTTGTTCATAGTTCAGTTGCTATATGTCTACAGATGCAGCAAAATTATTAAAATCATGGAAGGCAACAAAAGGAAAAAGAGAAGCCCACTGCATCAACACAGGGGCTATATAATGCAAAGTTTCTTCTCAACATGTCTATTGATTTTTTTATATATATATACACATACATACAGAAAAAATTATTAATTTAACAAGTCACTGAAGGAAAATGAGAAGCCCACTTGACAAAACACATAAAGTATGACAGTGACAATCTGTTAAAGACTCAGTTTTAACGGTGCGGCATGTATTGATTCATACAGATTTACTGTGTTTAGGAACTGATTCAACTGCAGATGTCCAAAACTGCTTTCAACCTAAAGAGAGTTTTCTAACTTTTTCCTTCCTGGTATTTTCATATATTACAATCACTTTCTACATTAGCAGATTATACACATCTGTATTTAGTTAGTAAACCTAGGTTTCCCCCCGAATACAAAATCCTGATAAAGTCTAACACAGAGAAAAAAGAGGGAGACATCTTTTATGTGGATGACAGTATTTTGTTCGGGCCAAGGACACACGGCACATGCTAATTTACATTACTTTAATAAAAGTGTTCTAATTATAGCCTGTCCTAACTGACCTGTGAAATTATCCAAAGGGAAAATTCAACTCTGGGCTGACTTTCTACAACCTGGGAGGCCTCTAGCCCTGTAACCTTTCCTGGAAGTTAGTAAGGTATGTTTTCAGAAACTACAAGCTATGTTTATTATCTGTTTACTAAAATAACAGGAAAGAATATGACGCATAAAATGTAATCAGGTTACCTGCTACTTTGCATTACCTTTATTAATGTTCCCTTTTATTAGGGCAGATCAATAGGAATCCGCTTTCACTGAGACTCTGACGCAGGTCTCTCTCTTTTCTTTAATTCTAAGAAATCCTGAAAACAATTTTTCAAACATGGACGTGGAACCAGGGACTACAGTCCAAACCCAGGAGTTCTTCCAGAGTCAAGCAACATTTCTTCATGTAAGAAATGAAGAGTGTTTCCTGAGACTTATTTTGGGCACACATTTTGCTGTGAGCTGTATTTGCTTTTTGCAATAGCGCTGAAGAGAAAACCAACTGACCATGTACAACCTAAACAATGGCTTTAGGGCTTGACCAAGAAATGCACCTGGCCTCTCAAACAACCCGTTTGTTTAACCTGGTGACTTTCCTGTGTCTGGGGTCAGGGCAGGAGCAATCTTGGTTGGTGAGGACAGAAGAGCAAATACGACCTGACTCACTGAGGACAGAACAGAACGGCCGTACTAACTACCCTTTGTAATTACAACTGTTTTAACAGTTTCTAGTAGGCAAGGCTATCATTTAAGTGACCCTCTATAATTTGGGATAAAACCCCAGGAAATTATGCCAACTTTAGAACAGGAGTTGTGTTTCTGAGTTTACTCAGCATCATGAAGCCACTGAAATGCTGAGTATTCCTCCTTTGGCATAAATTGACGTCAAGGGAAAAGTTAACACTAAAAGGAATTGAGCTCGAGAAAAAAGAAAACCACAACATTCACTCCTAGGAGCACACCATGGTTCCCTTTACTTTTTGCATCCATTTTATTATGGAAAATTTCAATCACATGGAAAAATATACAGAATAGATAGAATAATAAGCCCTCACAACCCCATCACTCCGTTTCCATAATCACCAACACATGGCCAATCTTATTTTACTTATTTGACCTTGTCCACTTCACTTTGGATTTTTTTTAAGCAAATCCCAGACAGCTGATATTTGATTTTATTTCGGCTTTCACTTACAACACAAGTGTGTATTTTCCTAAAGATTAGTCCAGAAATCTCGGTGAGCCTGAGACGTTGAAAACAACATGAACCACATCTTGTAAAACATTTTACGCTAAAACCTATCTGCCTAGAAAACGAATCTGCTTGAACATAATTGGGTAATTAAAATGACAACAGAACTTGAAATACAAGCCGCTATTCTTTTACTTAAAGGGGGAAAAGCGACATTCTGAGGCTGAGAAAATAGTGCATGCTACTCCATTCCTACGGTTTCTAGCTTTTGTGGACGTTCCAGTCAACAAGAGACAAAGTCAAAATCAGCATGGTTTGATTTGCCTGCATGTAGCTTGGAAAAATGGGAAAAGGCTAGTAAGAGGGCCAGGAGATGCCTGGAGCAAAAACCTTCTCCCTCTTCCTTCATCACACACTCACAGAAGAGAACAGAATCCACCAGGCCAAACCTAGGAGCCTCAGAAACCACTCCATGGAGCAGACCAGTGACTTACAGTAATTTATTACCCATCTTAAAACAAAGATCAAAAGGAACTCCATCTAGCATTTATATTCCTCATTGCCTGATGACTAATTTGTGGAGGAATGAAGTCTTCACAAGGGAAGCCAAAATAATCTTAGGTGACTTTGATACAATGCTACAAAGGATATGAGGAGGAAGCTGCTAGAAGCTGCACATGGCTAGGTTCCATTAAGAGTTCTAATAAAAGAATAATGGAATTTCCCTTAGCTGTGAATTAAAAACTGTTAGAAGTGGGCAAAATTTAGGAAAGTCAGACAAACCTTTGACTTGTCATAGCCTTTTATTACTTTCTCTCTCTCTCTCTCTCTTTCTCTAGTTAAATTTTAACTTTAGCCACTGTTGTACTTACACTCATTAAATGGCTTCATCTGAAAAAAATGCACCATTCTCATTAGCAATCTGACCAACCTCATTCCTTTCGCTCTTGTATTATTTATCAGCCCACACCTCTGTCTGCATTGTCAGACTCTATTGGTTCTCTTAATCTTTCAGCTTCCTGTGTCTGCAAAGCAACTGATCTAGCTTGAAAACTCTAACTCAGAATAATAGAATTTGTAATCCTGTACATCACCACCGTCACAGGGAACATAAACACCTCCTTTACAAACTGTTTGGTGCTTAAGTCCATTGATCACTTTAGAAACGCTAGGAGCTATTCAGATTCTTTCAACTTCTATGAACAACTGGGCACACGTTTTCCCTTCTGAATCCAGACATCTCTGGATTTTCAACTGAAGAAAGTAGTTTTCACACCACTTATTTTGGCTAGTTAAAAAATCCCCAGCACATGTCTCCCTGTAAATCCACAGATAAAGATTTAAGTTTATATTAGCATTTCAACTGGGCAAATTTTTTGTTTGCTTCTGAAATCACCTCAAATTAACAGATTTATTGGAACCCTACATGGCATAGAAGTTTCACACAAGTCTCAGGAATCCTGTAATATATTTCCCTATGAAGATGTGGTGATAAACATTTTCTTTTTTTTTTTTTCGCAAAGGAGTCACTGTCCTTTAAAAATGTATGATAAAATACCTCTAAGTGAAAAGGTATCTGGGAATTCTTCAAATCTGGGGACAGAGAATATGGAGTGCAAATGCAAGACCAACTAGGAATCTACAGAGCAAGGGGATGGGGAGACAAGGTCAAAGCTTACACCATTTGGGGTTCTGTGCGGCACAACTTTTGGCAAGTTGGCATTTCAGATGTAATGCCATGTCCTGCTGTTTGTTAAAGACTTTATTCAGAAAAGGAATTCTCCATCAGGAAGAATGGAGAACCAAGATTCGGCAGCCAATTTTTCAACTATCCCATTCTGAAAGCCAAGTTCACCCACTGCAGTACTTGGAAAGAGAAAGCAATGATGAACCCAGCAAACAACACCCAAATATCTGTCTTTTCACAGTCTTTGCAACTTCAGTGACAATATGCAGCTAGATTTTAATGTGGAGGAAACATAATAATTTTAGTTCAGAAATACAATTTTGTGTTTTCTTTAAAAAGTTTGAAAAATTAAGATTGAAATATAAATGTAACTGGTTAGCATACTTCAGGATCACCACCTATTGATTAAAACTGTGCTATTCATTCTGAAAGACAGAAGTCTTGCCAGTTTCCTAATTAAACACTAGTCCTGGGAGGTTTCATAATTAAAACACTAATCATCATCAGAACTCCACTATCTAATACAGTAATGAAATGTTTCTCTTACCTTGTGATCATACGGATTGTAGGAATGAAATACCTGAGAAAGATCTTTTGTTCTTTGCTTTTTCTGTGAAAGAAAACACAAACATTTGAAGGTTGGCAGCTGGCAAAAAAATACACATGTGCGAACATACTTATTTCTACGTATCTGTCTATAAACAGATCTAATATATTGTTTGTTCTGAAGAGTTTTCCTTTGTGAAAGCTGAGGGGACACATGGATGCAATTAGCAACCCAAGGCATTGTGGGGCGTTGTCACAGAGCAGCCAGACAACCTCTCCCTAAAAGGTTGCATAATTAAAACATTAATTACCAACAAAAACTGTTGTAAAATGCAAAACTCAGAGACTAAAATGGAGAAAAAAAAACAATGAAAAGAAATAAAACTCGATAGAGATTGAGGGCACGTTCAAGTTCCTTCTAACAACAACTGCTCTCCTTCAGCACTGGGCACTGGCACACATCCATTTACAAGAGCGAGCTCCTGTGGGCTTCCCCATCACGGCTGGGGTCTGCTTGTGCCTGCTGCCATGAACACACCTTTGTCCCATCACTCTAGGCAGCTCATATGCCTTGCATGCTATGCATACACCATAGGTGCTCAATGAGTATGGGATAAATTAACGAATCAACAAACAGTAAGACAGGCAACGTAACTGGTAGTATCTATAACGATGACACATGCCTCGTAGATAGTTATGAAAAGAGAAGGCTCTTCACTTTTAATGATGTATTCCTCTCAAGTTCATGCAGGCACTCCTCAAATTCCTTTTCTCTCCCCACTCCCTAGTGTCTGTGACAGGCAAGAAGTGTGGTGCTCTCTCATTACAGCCAAGTACTACAATCAACTCAACCGCTGCCATCTGTCTATCCCCCACAACCACTAGAACAATTTCGTGTATGGCTTCAAATCTTCTTTGTATATAAGAGGCTACTTCAACACGGAAAATGGAATTAAATGGAAAATGGAATTAAAACATAAGTTTCTTGTGCGAATTTTTTTTCTTTTGAAATCCATGCATAGTTGTCTCATGATACATATCTGCCATGAGTTTTTTGCATGGATTTCAGAATTTTTTGCAACAAATTACATTTATCTTTTAATCATATTTTCCATAAATGTTTTAAAGTACCTTAGTGTATATACGCAAATTATTAGTTTAAAAAAAAAGATCATCCCAATACATTGTTCTGTAATTTACTTTTTTCCAGTTCACAATTTATGAAAGTTTGCTAAACTTTCTCCTTTTTTATGAAAGATTATTTTTATTTATTTATCTGAAAGGTAAAGTTACAGACAGTGAGAGGGAGGGACAGAGAGAAAGGTCTCCCATCCACTGGTTCACTCCCCAAATGACCACAACAGCCAGAGCTGAGTCGATCCGAATCCTGGAGCCAGGAACTTCTTCTGGGTCTCCTATGTGGGTGCAGGGGCCCAAACACTTAGGCCACCCTCTACTGCTTTCCCAGGCCATAGCAGAGAGTTGGATCAGAAGAAGAGCAGCTGGGACTAGAACGGGCACTCACATGGGATGCTGGCGCTGCAGGTGAAGGGTTAACCTACTGTGCCACAGCACTGCCCCTATCCTTGCTAAATTTTCAGGCTAATGCATAAAGATCTGCAATCCCTCATGGGGGAATTTCAAAATCTAAAACCTTTTGAAATTACTTTTTCCTGAAATTCGTTTCATTTAATGATTTATTTATTTATTTGAAAGAGTTATAGAGAGAGGGAGAGACAAAGAGAGGTGTTCCATCTGCTGGTTCACTCCCCAAACAGCCACAATGACCAGGGCTGGGCCAGAAACCAGGAGCTTCCTCCAGGTCTCCCAAGTGGGTAGAGGGGCCCAAGCATTTGGGCCATCTTCCACTGCTTTCTCAGGCACATCAGCAGGGGGCTGGATCAGAAGTGGAACATCCGGGACTCGAACTGGCACCCATATGGGATGCTGGTGCTGCAGACAGTGGCTTAACTCACTGATTCATAGCATCAGCCTCATTTAAATTGTTTTTAATACCATAGTAGTCTCTGAACAAACATCTTTGCCAGCCTGAGTGTATAATTTTTTAAATAAATCATGGAAATGCAGTTTGAGGGTTAAATAGTATACATGTTCATTTCCTTGGGAAATACAAATTGTCTCTGCCTACTCCTCAACACTGTGCTAATTTGCCCTCTGGTAAGAGAAGAGATTGCAGCTTAAGTTGGACATTCTTAAGAATTTTTCCTCTTCAATTTAAAGGTATAACATTTCAAAATTTAGAATAGATCAAACATATTTAGAACAGACAGTGAGGGAATGGTGTTGTAGCGTAGCGGGTAAAGCCACTGCTACAGTGCTGTCATCCCATATGAACACAGGTTCAAGTCCCGGCTGCTTCACTTCCAATCTAGCACTCTGCTATGGCCTGGGAAAGCAGTGGAAGATGACACAAGTCCTTGGGCCCCTTTACCCAACTGGGAGACCTGGAAAAAGCTCCTGGCTCCTGGCTTCGGATCGGCTCAGCTCCAGCCTTTGCAGCCAATTGGAAAGTGAACCAACAGATGGAAGATCTCTCCCTCTCTCTCTCTGCCTCTCCCTCTCTCTGTGTAACTCTTTCAAATAAATAAATAAATTTTTTTTTTCAAAAAGGACCTCTCTCTCTCCCTGCCTCTAACTCTGCCTTTCAAATAAATAAAAAATAAATTAAAAAAAACCCAGATATTAGATATTTTCCCAGCTTCTGATTACAGAATTTATTTCTTGTCCATCACAGTTAGCCACAACGGCATCTTAAAATTGAGATGCCAATGGCCTGCTTGCCCTTAACCCTGCCCCTGGCTTGCTTCTGATTCTACCCGCATGTTGTTATTCCAACCGCCAGGTGACGTGGCTGCTTCCTGGCTTGGTACTCTTGTGTCTAGAGAAGTGTGTCCTTTTTACTTCAGTGTCCTCTCAATCACATGTCTATCACACTTCCTGAGTGCCAGAGATCTAATCAGATCCCCTACTGAGGTTCTGCATGATCTTCTGCAGCCATGTGGCTGAGCTGCTGGGTCTGTTGTTGATTAGGAGCTTGTCTTAAGGTCATTCCCACATGCTCAAAGTCTTCCCACAGACCCATTTCCCTACTTCAGGACTGTTGAGAGCTACAGTGTCAGCAGAGTCCTGCAGAGCACTTCGCCTTGTTGCCTGTCTGAAGTCATCCTTCCCGGCAGCTCAGCTGAAATTCCCACCTCCTCTGGCCACCTGAGCAGTGTCTCCGGCGATTCACTCGAGAGTAACTTAACAATCCTCCTTCCCAGAGAGCAGAACTGTGTCTCTAGGATGATTGGAAACAGTTCCCTTGGCTAATGAAATGTCAGCTCTGTGAGCCTTGGAATCTGCTTTGAACAGGTCACTTGCCCATCAAAGTTTTCATTAGCTTATAATTTTCTCTTTCCTTTCCATACACCCACTTAGCTGGTGTAACAGTTCTTGGCTTATACTTCAATCAGAAGAAAAATGATGGAAACTAACACTTCCTTTGGAAGGAGACTTGATAGAAAACATTAGGGAAATTTTTTTTTCAGACAGGAAATTATGCTACAGAAGATAAAATAGGCACCATATCAATATTCCACTTAGGAGGGGTCCCAAAGACTAACGGGTCTCAGAAATGGCTGAGCTACCAGCCTGAGTTGGCAGGTGTATAAGCAACACTCAGAAGTCATTTCGTGTGACCTTTTTATGTGGGTTTTGATTTTATCTTCCCATTTTGATCTCTAAAACCTACATATGCCTTTTATCATAGGCAACTTCAAAGAATTTTGGGAGGGAAGTGGGGTATAAGTAAATAAATAACACTATCGGGATTACCCTCAAAAAGAAGCCATCTTTTTTTCTGACAACAAACTTATGACATTCAAGTACAATGAAGTCTTGGCCATGAATATTGGAGGTTATATGAATTAGTTTGTGTTACCTAAAACCCATTACTGTTCCTTCCCCGAGGTCAATCACTTAGCCCAGGGATATATCTTTTGGAATCCGAACAAAGGTTGGCAAACGATGGCCCACAGGGCAGTCCGGGCCATAGCCTGTTTCTGTAAGCCAAATTTTACTGACACACAGCCACATCCACTCATTTATATTACCTATAACTGCTCTCATATTATAACAGCAAAGTAGTTACAACAGAGAATGCATGGCCCACAAATCCTAAACTATTTATTTCCAGGCCCTTTACAGACAAGTTAACCATGTCCTTGTACTGTTCTAGAATTTCTTTATCTAGCCATGTCTACTTCTGCCAGTAGTCTCTTAACCCAGATCAAGTGAGCAAGTAACTATCTGGCCAAAGTCTCTTCCTCCACTTTGTACAACGAAGATGGTCCATGAACCAATCATAATCCATACCCCAACACATCGGGATGAACACACCAGGCTTAACAGCACTTGGTTGTCTTGCTGTAGGATTTTACCTTCACTGCACTCTAGGTACGGGCAGAAAATATTATAGATTTGTTTCTAGGGCGTGCTGAAATAGACTTGAGTCTTTCACATTGTGATGGCTGATCCTGGGAGCTCTGAGAAAAAGACCTTTAAGTTCTAGCACTACAGCCAAGTACCAGATTCCATGGACAAGTAACTAAAATGTCAGCATTGTTACCAGTGAGCCAGCTTCTCCGATGTAGGTAATGCTAAGAGTACTACTCTGCAAAACTTGTTGAGCCTTGCTATCAGCACTTTTAACTGAAACTCAAAGCTGAGCCCAAAATGGAATAATTAGGTATTTTCCTATTGCATCATAGTGTATGTCTAAATTACCTCCCACTTTTTTAGCCTGTTAAAACAAACATCTCGGTCATGCAACCACCTGTTAATGCTCCAAATGTTTAAAAAGTAAACATGTTAAACAAGTTGTGTGATGAACCTGTAACGAGGGTGGCCAAAGTACAGCGAGTACGGCAAACACCTCTCCCAGAACTGTGTGTGGTTCTCTCAAAGTCACCTTCAGCGCTGATCCCGATGTACAGGCTGTGAAAAGGAGAGGGCACTCACAACCACACGCTGAGTCCTGCGGTGTATGTGGGCTGCAGAGGA